TTTTTTTTTTTTTTTTTTTTTTTTTTTTTTTTTTTTTTTTTTTTTTTTTTTTTTTTTTTTTTTTGGTAAGATTGTATGCATAGTATTTTTTTGAACACAACTCATGTATGCGTGCATGAACACGCTAGACAGACTCGTCAACGTCTCTTAAGGTCTGGTTATAGGTTTGTGCACATTCATACTATTGAAAACTAATGAAAAGGAAAAAATAACATATAATACTCGATCCTAGTTATAAGTTGGACTTATTTATGGCGTTGGACTTATTTATGGCGATTCTAGAGTTAAGCTGACAATGAATGATATAAAAAATTATTTGATTTGTTTGTATGATTTTTACAAGTTTTACGATAATATTTTAAGTTTAGATTGTGAAACAATCTCGAGTTGGGTTTGGTTATAAATCCTACTCACTCCAACTTTTGAATTGATTCAAAAAAATTCGTTTAACCCAACTCGATCGAACACGGAGACAAAGGGCGGAATCTTTTAGGTTTAGTTACCCTCCTTGCATGTGGTGGATAAGAAGGAATTTGATGGTAAGAAATTAACGGACAAGTGGAACAGCCCCTCTGTTTTCCTCTGTTTTCCTCTGTTCTTCTCTGTTCTTTAATAAATCAAATTCCGATGAGTTCCATGCTTCAGCTCTTCACTCTCCACTCCCATTTCCGCAGCCATGGAAGCTCTGCACTTTGATTCCCAACCCCACCTCGTTATCGTCCCAAGTCCCGGCGTTGGCCATCTAATTCCCCTCGTCGAGTTCGCCAAACGCCTCGTCTCCCTTCACAATTTCTCCATCACCATCGCCATTCCCTCCAACATCCCTCCGACCAAACCCCAAAGAGCTGTCTTAACCAACCTCCCTTCCACCATCCAACCCCTCTTCTTCCCCCCCATCTCCTTCAACGATCTCCCCGAAAACCCCAAAATCGAAACCATCATCATCCTCTCTGTAACTCGCTCTGTTCCATTCCTTCGCAACCTCTTCAAATCCCTCATCGGAAAAACCCATCTTGTTGGCCTTATCGTCGACCATTTCAGTACTGACACCTTCGATGTCGCCATCGAATTCAACGTCCCTTGCTACCTTTTCTTCCCTCCTTCTGCCATGAACCTTTCCTTTGCCTTACAAATGCCCAGCCTCGACCAAATCGTCGCCGGCGAGTACAGGGACCATCCCGAGCTGATTCAGATTCCGGGGTGTATTCCCATTCACGGGAAAGAGCTTCAGGAACCGACTCAAGATAGGAGTGACGATGCCTACAAGCTATTGCTCCATAACTGTAAGAGGTATAGAATGGCGGATGCCATTTTTCTCAACAGCTTCCCTGAATTGGAGCCTGAAGCTATAAAAGCTCTGCTAGAGGAGGAGCCAGGGAAGCCCCCTGTTTATCCAATTGGTCCGCTGGTGAGGAAAGACTGCAGTGAAAACGAAGAGAGAGCGGATTGTTTGAAATGGCTTGATGAACAGCCAAAGGAGTCTGTTCTGTTTGTGTCGTTTGGGAGTCGGGGGGCTCTGTGGCTTGATCAAATCACCGAATTGGCGTTGGGATTGGAAATGAGTGGGCAGAGATTCATATGGGTCGTTAGAAAACCGAAAGACGAGACGGTTACTACGATGTTGTTTAACGATCAGAATGAAAAGGAGGTGTCGAGATTCTTGCCGGAGGGGTTTATAGAGAGGACTAAAAACAGGGGAATGGTGGTGCCATTGTGGGCGCCACAGGTTGAGGTGCTGAGGCATGAGTCCACCGGGGGGTTCTTGAGCCACTGCGGGTGGAACTCAACTCTGGAGGCTGTGGTGAACGGGGTGCCTCTGATTGCTTGGCCGGCGTATGCAGAACAGAGGATGAACGCCCATATGCTGACAGAGGGCATTAAAATTGCTTTGAGGCCGAAGAAGAACGAGGAAAGAGGGATTGTGGAGAAGGAAGAGGTTGCAAAAGTGGTGAAGTCGTTAATGGAAGGTGAAGAGGGGAAAAGGGTTCGTGAGAAAATGAAGTATCTGAAAAATGAAGCAGAAAGAGCTCTGGGAGAAGATGGATGTTCTTCCAAAGCACTGTCTGAAATAGCTCTGAAGTTGAAGAAGACGAAGATTGGGAATTAAGTGAATAATGTAATGATAAAAGAATGTTGTATCGTGTTTACCCTAATAAAATTCTCTTTGGAATTATCCATTTTCAAATATTTTATTTTGCATAAACATTTTTTTTTAATGTTTATTGACATTATAGGAATCGAGTTGAGTTAAAAAAATCTTTTGGACTAATGCGAAATTTTAGAATGGTCATGTGAGCTCCCACATGAATTGGAGAGGGGAAGCGAGTCAGACGTTGGCCTCGAAGGAGGTGGATTCTCAAATCCCACATCAATTGGAGAAGGGAACAAAACATTATTAGCAAGGGTGTGAAAACCTCTCACCAACACGTATCTGTATTCTCTCTTACTGTACATACTTGAAGTCATCAATATAAATCCTTTAGCCAGAGTTCTCCTTGCATTTTCTCTATTCTGTTCTTTGTGTTCATATAGATCGAGTGTGTGGTTTGTTGTACGATCCTAACAACTGGTATCAGAGTCAAGTTGGAAGTCACCACGATCTGTGAAGATGGAAAGTTCAAATATTGGAATTGAGAAGTTCGATGGATCCGATTTCAGTTTCTAGAAAATGCAAATTGAAGATTATTTGTACCAGAAATATCTTCACGAACCCCTGTTAGGAGTGATGCCGGATACCATGACCACGGAGCAGTGGAAGCTCAAGAATCGACAAGCCTTAGGGCTGATCCGGTTGACGCTATCCAAAAACTTGGCGTTCAATATCATCAAGGAGAAGACAACGTCAAATCTGTTGAAGGCGCTGTTGATTATGTACGAAAAACCGTCGGCTATGAACAAGGTGTATTTGATGCGGAGATTGTTCAATCTACAGATGTCTGAAGGTGGATCTGTTGGTTATCATATAAATGAATTCAATATGATTGTAAGTCAACTGAGTTCGGTGGAAATTAATTTCGAGGATGAAATTAAAGCATTGATTTTGATGTCATCTTTACCCGAGTCGTGAGATACTGTTGTTGCCGCAATCAGCAATTCGCGAGGATATGATAAACTGAAGTTTGATGAAATTCAAGATGTAGTTCTCAGCGAAAGTATTCGCAAACGAGAAATTAAAAATTCTTCTGGTAGTGCTCTCAGTGTTGACCAATGGGGAAGAAGTAAACCGAAGGGCCCAAACAAAGGGCAATCAAAATCAAAGAACCGAGAAAATTCTCCAAATAGACCAAACGTAACATGTTGGAATTGAGGAG